AAGATCGCGGCGAGAACGCGGAAAATAGAAGAGCAAAAAAAAAAAAGGAGGGGGGGGGGAAGAAAAAAAAAAAAAAGAATTTTCCAGAAAGCTTTCGACCACGCATTTCATTAAGCGGACGGCATGAAAGCCACAGCGAAAAGAGAGAAGCAGAATACTGGTCATGTATGAGCCACGGGCAGTGGATGCACTGGGAGCTGAGAGGGGGGAGGCGGGGGGGTTGGGGGGTGGGCCCATGAGAACGTGAACAGGTGCTCTGCTCTGATGGAGCCGGCGTCGGGTCAGAGTGAAATTCCAGGTGCCGCGCCGCACATTTGGTAATGTGCACAGAAAACCCGCGGCTCCGGGCCCGTGTCAGATTTATCTCAATTTCCTGGAACTAAGATCACAGATGAGCTCACTCCAAAATTCAACACACTTAACGGCTGTTCCAGAGACCGCGGGCACGCCGCGAGCGTGATGCGGGACCAGAGAGAGGCCCGGCCCACTGTGTGTCGTCACCCCTGAGTCTCAGCTGCCACCAAAAAGCAAGGAAGGGCACCCTGGTTTCGTAGAGATAAATGTGTGTATCTGTGTGTGTGTGTGTGTGTGTGTCTGTGTATGTGTCTGTGTATGTGTGTGTGTAGGGGGGTGAAGCTTGACTCATAACTGCCACCATGACTCAGTAGGAGAATTTATCCCAAAGATTTGGACATTTCCAAGGTTAGATTGAAAACAATTTTTCAATAAAGTTGAAAAAATAAGCTGCATCTGTAGTAGAATGGTCAACGCCTTTAATTTTTTCTAATTTAGCACCCTCCAATGGGAATCAAATTGTTGTCTACATATTTAGCTCTGGACCTCAAAAGACCAACAAAGTTGTGAAGATCATGTCATAACACAATGTTAGGCATGCACTATTCTGGTGAGCTCCAAGAAGTTCAGGAGAACTGGATATGTTTGTTTTCAAAATGTAAAAAAGGTTATGGTCTGATTCTAAAAAAAACCCCAATGCATGTTCAAAAAGGATACGTGTTTGCACATCAGTCTGACCGGAACCACACAGGATTGCATCTGAATAGGCAGGCTGACGCGCTTAGATAAAGTCGGAGCGCTTTCTTTACATCCGATTGGACTCAAATTGGGCCCACACTTCTCCTACCGGGCCTTTGACGAGTCTTACAGCTTGATGTCAAAGGTTACCGGTGGGATTTGTTCAGCCAGTGATCCAGCTCAGAATAACTCCATACAACCGCTCAGTGGGCGTCTCTCTATCTCTGCCGGATCCCCCCGCTGAGCTCATTTCACCGAGTGGATTTTAAAGACGAGAGATCTGCTCCCGATTCCCGCACTCTGACCTCCCGTGGGCCTTTCTTCACCCCCGTTCTGATGGGGCCGAGGACAGAGCCCACCACGTTTCCCGTCTCCAATCGTGTGAATTAATGACCTCTTTAAGAACAGAATAAATAGAGCCATACACCCTTTTCTTTCCCATTGATGGAACCGCGGCGCATCTGACGTGAGCAGTGGCTTCTTGCGACCTCTGACCTTTGAAGATGGATGCGAGGGGTTTAATCTGGGTATTTATCCCCATTTTTTCCCGTATATATAGAAGCTAAGAGCCCTAGAAGCCACGACAGTTCTCAGACAGGTCGGTGAAAGTCTCCGGTGCAGAATACCTCGTACCATGATCTCCGTCTACTCGGTCGTGGTCACTCTGGTGCTGTTCTCTGAGCTGGGCAGCCGCCTGGTCACCGTGGCCATGCCGTCCACCAAAGCGGACGACGGCGCGGCGGAGCAGGACAGCGTGGACTCCATACTGGCCGACGTGCCCGTGAGCGAGCTCGCCGCCGTGCCGCAGGTGTACAGGAGGACCCTCGCCCTGGACACCAACGGGAGGGACGACGGGACCCCGAAGATCGTCGTCCTACTGTCGGTAAGCGCCGCCGATTCCAGATTCAAGACGTGTCAGTCGGAAGGAAACACGGCCATCCACCAAACAGAGTTCCTTGACCACAGCTAATTCCGATCTTTGTTGAGATGCCGGTTATTTCAATTGATGCCATATTGTTTTCTGTTGTAATCACTGACTAAATTGATCATATAATAAAGTTATTTACAGCTTAAAGGGGGGAATATACTGTAGTAAGGAATATTACACTGTTTCCCTGCATGAATCTCTGTCTATAAAGGTTTATTCTTGTATTTGACTGCTTATACATCCACATTTTTTTTATCTATATCATTAACCTCTTAGCAGACATGTCTTGCAAAAACTTCCTAAAGTGTTAATTGGCTGCCAGATGTAGTTTTGCTCTATCACAATTTTGCTTGAGACATGCAAACAAAAACAAACACGAGGTTTTTAGGCCAACGCTGAAAAATCCTCTGCAGCTTTGCTGGCAAACTATCACACACCACAAGTAGCTATTGTATGAGATTTATTGTAAGTAAATATCCACCGCTAGCCATGGCCACGGCCAACAAAGAGCACATTATCTCCACTCTGTGACTGTACACTTGACCCCACTCGATTGGCCACCGTCCTCTGGTCTACTGTTAAGTCAATATTTTACGCACACATCTATAAAATTCTTTTACGGCAGCAATGGAAAACCGGGAAATACTGTTAGCCGAAAAGGTCAAATGATCACAAGTCTATAAAGATTTATTGAAATCACAGTGGGAAGAATGATGATATAATGGTGTTCCATCAAACATTTGGCTGTGATGTGTTTATCTGGAGTTTCTCTGGTGAGTGTGTCCCCCGTGTGTCATGAACATGGTTGTTATCTATGTGGTAATGGTGAATGGGGAGCCATAATGGAGACAGCAAAGACATTTGGGTGAACTAGAGCTATGGAAGAAAACAGAACACTGCGATACAGTCAAATTATAGGAACACGTTTGTTCCATTTGGAGAATCAGTGGCTTGGATCAACTCATAAAGACAGATCCAACACCTGAGCTGCGAGTGAAAATATCTGTGAAAAGCCCGTGATGGAATTTGACCGTCGAGAGTTCACATAATGCAGGAAAGAGAATAAAACTCGAGCTCAAATTGTTGCAATTTAAAGGAATGACTTACAATCTTTCAGGATCCGAGGCTGAAAGGGCAAAGCGTTCGCGGGCTGAGTTCTGCCCTCGCCCGGAACCATCCTCTGCTCACAGACCGAAGCTTGAGCAGTCCGGGAGTGTCCAGTTTGAAAGTAGATCGAAGAGATACCGACCTTGACAGTAAGTATCAAGAAGCCTATACCTAAAATCCTGTTTAAAGCTATTCTATACCTGTTCTGTTGACTGTAAATTCTCATATCTGAATGCAAACCCATTATGTGCTTGACTTTTCTTCTGTCTTTCAGTGCTGCGATGTATGATAGGAAGAGTCTACCGGCCCTGTTGGGAAGCATAAACTGTCCCGTATGATGATGCTGCTGGCTCAAGAATATGCTGTTAAAGTTTTTTTCCTTATGTGTTACACTGAAATGCATTTCCACGTAGAAAATAAGTGTGGAAAGACATGTTAAATAAAAATAAAGGTTTATTAACAATTAAGAATACAGTACAGCTATACATCTTCATTTAAAAGTCCAACTTTACAGCTAGTGATGGTTTGTGTCTGGAAGTCCAGTAGGAATAAAGTGCAGTGACAAAACACTCGATATATTCTGGTTGCAGACTATTACACCTTTTCCCTGTTGACATAAAATTGCCATTTTACCTTGGGATGCCAGCGCTGGTTTAGCTCAAAGAATTAAAAAGGGTGCATTCAATTTCCATAATTTTAAAGAAAAAAAAGTCATTTAGAAGTCATAAAATTTAAAGAACTAATTCACTCTCTTGCTCAAGAGCTACGTGTAACTTAGCTAATGATTGGCTAGCGGTTACCACACATGCAGTTTTGAAAAAAAAAGTGTATTTTCCCAAAGGAAGGAAATATGTATTATCATACATTAGGTAAATAATACATAAAATCGTGGTAGAAAAAAAAAAAAGTTAAACATGAAGCTAGGCTAGCAACGAGTCAGCTAGCTACACAGCGCCATTAGCATTTTTCCTGAATAAGGGGACAATACCCAACTAAAAGTTAGAATAAAACTAGAAAAAAAAACAAGAAAAAAAACAGCTTGAACTGTACCAGTAAGTGAACTCAACCGCTGGAATATTTTACATTTACCACATTTGACAAAACAAAAACAAAAAAAACAAAACCACTCTTAGACTCTGAAGAAGCTGGTTAGCTTTCCCTGTCCCGCTATGAGCTTCCTCTTGTTCGAGGTTTTGCCCATGTTTTTGCTGGGCAGTTTGACTGACACATGAGTGTGCTGCTTCTTCTCAGGAGGCTCATTCTCCCATCCACTGTGTTGATCGGAATCCAGCTGCTTCCTCTTGTTTCCCTTTCTCTGCATCTGAATGCCAGTTTTCTTTATATTAGCCAGACCCGAGCCTCTGTTTTGAGCGTTTCCACTCCTTTGCTCAAGAGCAGCCTCCCTCTGTACCTCACTTTGCTCTTTTGTCCGGCATCCAGGGGTGGGCTTGGCTGCAAAGATTGAAACAAAGCAAAACCGAGTTTGACAAGCTGATGGCAAAAAGAGGAAAACATTGTGACGAAATTGCTGACGTTAGCCGCAGGGTGAAGCAGGCTGTGTGTTTATTCTGTGAAGCTAAAGTTCAACATTTGTCATGTAAAACCCGATGGAGTCGAGTTTGAATTCCCATGGAAAAGAAACACACACAGAGGGAAATGGGCAAAAACCTCTATGAGTGTGTATGTACCTTTTGGGGGTTTTTTTTACTATAGATGTGGGGGTTAGCAGGTTTTTACAGAATGGGGATTCATTTCATGACTAATAGTAAAGCCCCAGGAGAAGGATTCAAGGGGTTCAAAGGGAGAACTGAAAAGGTGTGGCTGGGCTACAAACCAAATAAGCGTCATAGGACTCGTGGGTCACCGCGGGAAAGGCGGCAAAAAAAAATATATAACCTGGAGGTTTTTTCTTTATGTAGTACACACAAAGGTCAAAAGCAAAGTTCGAGTTTGTACCCGTGCTTGAGTCCCGAACATCGAGGCTGGACCCGTCCTGGGCAGCCGTGGTGGGTTTAGGCCTCGGGGCCGGGTGCACGCAGGTGGGGGCCTGGCTGCTGCTGGGGAATTGCAGCACCCGGCTGAGAGGGGGGTCTTCGTCTTTGTATGTGCACGCAAACTGCGACCGGGGGACCTTATCTCTGGCCTGAAAACGAAACAGAAAAAAAAACTAAAAAACACTGACGAAACGCTGACGAAGTTGATGATCCCGTGGCCTTTAAAAAAAATCACCGGCTAAACGCGCATTAACGCGTTCCAGTTCGTTTTCAGCGAGGGACCGTCGATCCAGCTGTGGACCGACATCTGCATGCGCTTTCGAGCATCGGGTGCAGACGAGGCCAACAGGAATTCGGTTTGTTTTGGGGGGCCCGCAAAAAAAAAAAAGGGAGGAACGGCCAGAGGTGCTTTCCACCTGCAGTTCGTCTTAAAGCGAACGACAAGGCCTCTGCCAAGACTCTCAAAATACCAAACAGCAGATGTGAGGACATTTCACAATCCACAAAGCCGGCGTGGTGCTGACACAACACGCGAAGCGGAGCGGATCGGGGGATCTCCCGTCTAATTAGAGTGAGTCACTGTAGATACTTGATGGTGATACATCTCATGTGTCAAGACGCTTAATGGACAACAAACAGTGATGATCAGTACGCGGGACTCCTGCCACTCACAGAGTCGGGCTTTTAGCCTCCTGTTTTTTTTTAAGTAACAAGGCGACCTTGTGCTGTGGAACGCTAACAACAGTTGCTATCAAAATAGAAAAGAGGAAGAAAAAAAAACAAAACTGTCAAGCGGAGCATAATTAATAGCGTTTCACATCAATAACTCTTTCCAGCATTAGCCAATCATTAGCGATGATTTAAGGTCATAGCACGCCACTTGTGTGGTTCCTTTTACGCTCCGAACAAAACAAGCCGAGAAAATGTGATTGAAAAGCAAATGCGTGTTCTAGTTACATTCACTTCCTCTTCAACTGCAGTTCAAATGTTTAAAACTGTGAAATCTACGGCAATGAAGTAAAGAAATGCTTTGGATGTCAACTTTTGTTTGAAACTCGAACATTTGCTTAAAATGTTAACATTACATGTAAGTGACCTATCAAAATATAAAAAAAGGGAAAGGTGAAAGGGGAAAAATTGTAACTGGATTACGTGGTTATTAAAAATGGATTAAACTGCACGGAAATAAATAAATAAATAGCTTCTTAAAGCCACACTGACACACACACACAATGTCCCACATAGTGCTTTCTCTTCTAAAACTACATATTTTTTCAGGTTTCTTGCGACAGAACTACTCCGATACAGATCTTAATATCACAACCTGCAGCAACGCTAGGCCAAAACTCCCCAACAACGCACACGTACGCCTGCTTCACGCCACGGAGTGAAGCTAAGGAGTCCTATTTTGTTCAGGCAGTGTCAGAGATCATCACAGAGATGACAGGGGTCCTTAAACCAATTAAAGGCCGCCCATTGACGTTCTTTAATGTCACGAGAGGAGGTGAGCGATTCCCACACTGGTCATCTGCCCTCTACGCCCTCGGTCTCATGCCGTGCGTCTCGTGGAGAGCTTTTTGAGAATAGCCTCGTTATGACAAAAGTGAACGATAGCGAGGGCTGCAATCCCCACCCTTGGGAAACGCAGATCCACCGCTTTTCATCCGCCCGTTTCATCTACGTCTGCTCGGGATTATCGCAATCCAAGGATTTCACCCTTTCGGGGCAGTGGGCCACATTAAAGAGGAGAGATCTGAGGGAAGGAGGGGTGTGTGTGTGTGTGTGTGTGTTTGGGGAATGGGCTGGGTGGGAGTGATTTCAGCAAACATTTGTACGTTTCAGAGGAATTTCTTAGAAAAAAAAAACATATGCATTTGTAGTTACATAGTAATAAGCACAAAAAAGGGGATATGACTGGCAAATAAAGTCTAATCCAGTTTATAACCAGCGGGAGCTCAACATGGCACGGCGTGGTCATAGTAGAGTCCTGAATTCTCTAAAGACGGACTGTCTGAAATCGATCTCGCCTTCGTTTGTAGTTTTATTTGTGCACTCACGTGCAGAAGAGGGAAACGAGTGACAGGTGCACCATTACGGGGAAGCGTATACTTCTTTACACACCATCATGAATAAATCAAGAGGCGCCCTTTTCGTCCGGATCTCCCGTACGTCAAAGAGGCACAGGAGCAGGGCCGTAGGGAAGGTTTTTGGAAGTCTGGATCATCCGTGGCACTGAGGAACAGATTTGGAGAGCGTCCCAAAAACCAGAAACCAAATCTGGCCGTGTCCGCGTGTGCCAGTTGACGTCAGCGCATGATGAAACCCGCCGGAGAGAAGGCCGGAATCAAGTCATTTAGCAGACAACAGGAAACAATAACCTTTCAAGTTTCCCTTCGCTAGTCGAGTTACGCGACTGATATGGCATCTTCAAAGTGAAATTGATGCAGAAAGCTTCCGCTCGCCGAGTTCAGGAAGCGGTGAGCTGCCCAGGGACCATTACGGCGCACTCAAACAGGAAGGCAGCCAGATTGTGGGGAGCTAGAATGACATCTGGTAGCGCAATCAAATCAGAGAGCCATTCAATACAATATGTTCAGCATCCAGTTAAAGGGGGCAGGAAAAAAAAAAGGAAAAAAAAAAGAGTTCACAGCTGATCAGCATTACAAATAAAGATAATTTAAATTAACATTTTAAGCAGACTTAGTATAAAGCCATTCTGCGCAGTTCAAATCCTCACAAATTAAAAGTATTACCAAAAGTAATACTTCAGCTCTATACATCAAAATGTTGCCACCAGTTGCCATGTTCTGCCACTGCCCGATACGGCTCATTTTTAGACCACGCCTTCCTTCCTTTTCTCATTTATTGACACCACTACGAAGCCCGTTGGCACATTATGGTCAGCGGATTGTCGCGTCTTTTATCTTTTATCTCGTCTGCAATTCTCAGCCTTCTTGTATCCTACCTTCAGTTATACATCTCAACAAGAAAAAAAGGGGGAAAAAGCAGGTTACTGTCTCCTTTACGAGTATTTATTCCTTCTAATGCTTGAAAGCAGTTGTTCAAATACTACCTGGCTCTTGATGAGCTGGTCTCACTAAAACAAGTTTTATTTTAGGAGTTTGAGACACGGGGACATTCATTTGAAATGTCTCAAGTGTTCAATGTCTCTTTCCGATTCCCCTTGTCACACAAGTGACTGTTTCCATTCCCAGCGCATCTGTTCACGCACCTGCCTGCGTATTACACTCATTATCAGAGTTTTTTTTAAGTTTTTTCTTTAAACTAAGGGTTACTCCAGATCAATCAGACCAAAGGCTGCTGCCTGATTTGACCGAATGCCAGCAGATGCAAACTCGTGAACGGCAAACAAGGCCCGAACGGGCGAGAGGTCAGCGTTCTGTTGATTTTAGTATCGCACGAGAAAAAAAAAAAAAAAGCAACGGAGGTGGTGTCTTATCTAGCACGCGAGGGCCCCCAAAACAAGCAAGGCTCCGGAAATCGTGGATCCGACTGACCGACAAAGATCAAAAGGGAGCATACGCGCCCCCTACTGACCACCTGTGTGTTAAAACGGGCAGACATGTTCATATCTGAGGACGTGCCAAAATCTGAGACAGCCATGATAAAAAAATGAGCTGAAAGTCAATTTCATGACTCTGACTTATCAAATTTAAAGAAACATACACATGTATGAGGTTCTCTTCTTTTTGACTCACTTTTAAACATGTATTCGAGTAGAACGTGCCCTCTAACACAGTCTAACGTTAACATGGACTCTTTGATGCGTTCCCGACCCTCTCAAAAACTTTAATTACAAGCAAATTGCTCAAGAGCTGGAGGACCTGCTCTAGATCACAGCGTGCCGAGCAGAAAGAGCCGTGAGCGGAGAGCCTGACGCGGCATTGAAAAAACAGGCTTTTTCCTGCCTTTTAAAACCTGCTGCCACCAGTCATTAAATCAGATTTCCCACCAGGAGTGGGGAAAGGGAAGGTTTATACTAATTTCCTGCACGTGTAGCACAATCCATCCAGCACATGCAAATCAACGGGGTTCCGTTTAAAAAAATAAAATAAAAAATTGCTACAAAGGCTACACGGTGACTGGAATAAATTAAGCCTAAAACGAGAATTACGGCCTCTCGGAATATTGCGGCGGCGACCGGGCCAAGTTTTAGTCTACGGCTTCCTGTTCTGAGTCACGGAACCAAAAATCAACCAGAGGATTGTTTACTTCTACTTCCGTTTACTTCCGCTTTATCCTGAAAGTTTGTCTCGTTTGACCCGTTTTGTCCCGTTTTTTTTCTGCTGAACGATCAACAGAAAAAAAAAAAGCGTCTCTCAAAATGTCCCCATTTGTCTGAAGCGGACTGTAGAGGACACCCGAGCGAAAGAGGAGCCGCTCAGCCTGGACAGAGGGCAAGAAAAAAAAAAAAACGATACCAGTATCGCGTTTACAGCGTCCTGCACGGTAAGCAAAAACGGGGGCCCGATAATAGGACGACTCATCATCGGGACTGGTTAATGGCTCCAATCCCTCACAAATAATTCATCTGGTGCCCTGGATCTAAACCTCACACTCAGACCGGCGCGGAGAGCCCGAGACGCAGCTGTGCAAACGGGAACGGTGGAAGACAGTTGTGAGCTTCAGCTAAGCAAATAAATAATACAATACCCGCGAGAAATTGCAGGGCGAACAAAAAAAAAGAGAAAAAAAAAAAGAGTGTTCTGTTCAATGTTTGCACATCTGATTCGATTTGAAGCAACCCGCGGACTTGGACTCGGGTGTGGGGGGGGCGAGTGGTGGGGTGGGGGGGCTTTTTTGGATGAAAAGCCGGCGTTACCTTGGGCTTGATCAGGTCCAGTCGGCTCTGGACTCTGTTCCTCAAGGGTTGTGGAGAACATCCAGAAGACACTTCGGGGGATCTGTGGAGAGCGACCAGCAGGGAGAGGGCAAAGGCCAGAGGTTTACACGCTGGACGGGCCGGAAGATTCCGTGGTTTGGACTGACCAAGAAATATTGACCAAGAAATATGTTTTCCCCCAATCGTCGGACACTCTGTGTCATCCACAAAGGACGTTATTTGGCTACCCCCTCGAACATGGCCGGTGGCTAAAAAGAAATTGGAGGGTGTTCTTATTTCAGAAGCTTGACCAAATAAATTGTTCCAGTGTGATGTGGTTGGATTTTCCTCCACACGGTTTTACTGGGAGAGTTGTTGGTCTAATTGCTGCTTGAGGGGTTTTCCTGTTCTCCCGTTGTAGAAAAACAGTCTAATCTTGAACAAACTCAAGGATATGACTATTTCCCCCCCCTCTCTTTTTTTTTCTGCCCATCAGACTTGAGTTGCTGGGAACTGCAGCAACCGAGTTTGTTTAACCCTGAAATGCATAAAGACGTGTGAACGGTCCTTGATACGTACAGTTTCTGAAATCTTTTGCATCTGAGACCTTTTTCCATCACTTTAGAGTAAAAAACTTTGCTTAATACTCAGTGTTTAATGTGACAAAAAGACTACACTGAAATAATTTAGACATCGCACCGTAAAAAAAATGGTAAATACATATTTTGTTAAAGAGCCAAATTGAGACATCAGACTAAAACATTGATTTACTCTCCAGAGGGTATTTCCAAAAGTTATAGTGTGTATTCATCCAAGTATCTAAAACGATAAATGCTGAATACTCCCCTCGCGGTCAGTGTTTTTGTTGGTATGTACTCCCATTAAGCACAAAATATGACTATAAAGCTTCCCGATTTGCAGAAAGCTTTCCAATTTAATGCATAAAGTGTCATAAACTGTGGAAGACAGCCTTTACAACATTTCTAGAGCTCCCACTTCCAGAAGGAAGACTGAAGAGGTCATTTTTTTTTAAATTCCAAACAAAAATTATTAAAAATCATTGAAACAACCTAACTCTACTAGTTTTGGGGGGTTGGTCAAACAAGCTATTTTTCTGGAGCGGACACCAGCACTGACCACACTGAGCCAGACAGCAAAGAAAAAAAGGAAAAGAAAAAAGGGTTTGAATTCACCCGATCCGGCGTGGGCCGACCTGAACAGCGTGAGGACGCAGGTTCCCTCCGAGCCACTGAGGACGGGCTGGTCCTCGGACAGCAGGTCGGCCTTGTTGGGACACGGGGCGGTCAGGGCCTCCTCGTCCAGCAGCGCCATGAGGACCTTCACAGTGTCCCGGCCTCCGGACGCAGTGGCGTGATTTATCGCATATGCTTTTGGCTGCAGAGGAACAAAAAACACACAAAAACACACACAAAAGTCAGAACAAACAGTACAACAGGAAGAAATGGGTGGATAAACGAATAAGGAGGAGAGCAGAGGGTACACTGGACATTACCCTGGCTGGACTGATCCCCGTCCTGCTTCCGTTCTCAGCTCCTTTCTGGACCTGATGGAGCTGGACAATCCTTTCCTCCAACTCCTTTGCGGTCTCCTCAGCGGCAGCGCGCAGCTCCTCTCCGTTAGCGGACCCCTTGACCAGCACCGCCCTGATGGCCGCCACCAGCCGGGCTCCACACACACTGAGGGGTCGGCACAGGGGACAGTCAGCGACACACTCCGCTACCGGCGTGGAAACAAAAACAACAACAAACCCCCCCCCCTCCCCGAAAGAACACACACACACACAGGTTCATACGGATGGAGTTAATGGCTTTCGGGGACTGCGGCCGATGTTTACTGACACGAATAACCGATAGTCGGAATTCGAATGTCCTCAAAAGATACGCCGACACTGCATTTTCAATTAAATGAACACTGACTTCCAGGGATAAACCATTTCTGTGTCTACATCCGGTTGAGTTTGATTTCACTGCACTGCGCTCTGGCCAATGCCAACAGTTTTTAACCATCTTCACAGTTTTTTGAGGGAAAATTGCCTCTTGGTTAAATGTCCCAAGCTCCTGGCCACACATCACTTAAGCCCACTGCTCCCCGTAAAGTGTTTTATAGCATATAAAAGATGCCCGCACAGATCAGCCCCGACCTGGTGCTGAATTGAGCGACCAGTCGGGGGGCTTAGTAACAGAATTACTTGGGAAAACAGATGTTCACCGATGGGGATGGGGAAACACAGTACTGCCGGTTGAAAGACGCACGCCGGCCTACTTAATCAGCGTCTCATCAGACGGGAGCTCTCTCACCAGCTCGCACGAACCGAGAACCCCCCTTTGGAGGAGCGGCGAGAGCCGGACACGCGCTGCACAAACACCCCGACGTGTTATTAACCGCTCCGCCGAGCCAGGCCCCGCTCACCCCCGGGACCTCTACAAAAAAGAGGGGGGGGGGGGGGGCCTTCAACGAACGGCTTAATCTCAAAGCTCACATGATGGAGTGGCCAAATCATTTCTGATAACCACTTTTGTTGTGCAGCCAAATGCCTCCACGTCCCAAAAAAAAAGGATCTGGAACGAGGCGGCGGACTGATCTGCAGAGGATCGGGGGGGGTTTGATCATCAAAGTAAGCCGAGCGGACGGAGACAGGCTTTGATGTGGCAAAGACGAACATGCTTTAGCAATCCGGTTTGTTATCGCCAGGCGCTGGGATGGGAGTCATTAAGGGGGTTTAGGGGAGATAATGACAAGCACCAGCAGCACAGGTGGATTTTTCCCGATCGCAGGTGTGATTCTGGAGCACAGGTGTCCACCAGGCCCACGCTCCCAGCCCAAAGGGCTCCCACCAGTGGGGAGTGGGGGCCCCTCCCTCACGAGGGTTCCTTTGCCTCGGCCCTCAGAGTGGAACTGAATTCACAAGGCGAATTAGCACCAGAGGAGCATCTGTTATAATGCAGTTGACTCCAACAAATGTTATAAGTTTCAAAAGTTCGAATTCAATGTTAACTGGAAAACATCACTAAGCTGAGTGGGATAAGATAAAAATGCATTTAAAAAAATCCATAGAATATGATCGACAATAAATGGAGATGACTGTAGTAATTATAATAACGTGTTATTTATTTTTTTTTTCTTTTCATTTATTAAGGCAGGAGTGGCCTCTATAGAAATAACTGTGACACTGGTAGAACATGCCATCCAGAAGTGGTTAGCCAAATGGGAAAAGCATCAGTTAGCACACTTTTCAAAGCCTCTTTCCTGTGTCCTCAGTCTATTAAAAGCTAAGATATCAACAGATTGCTGTGTTTTTACAGGCAGGTTTTTCATTTTTGACTTATGGAAACTACATTATTTGACCAAAAATAACCACAGCAGATAATTAAAATTTGTTGAAAATCCTCTGTTCACATCATACGCAAGCAACAAAACGTCCCAATGGACTGAATAACTAAATAGTTTAATTCTGAATGGAACACTCGTCCTCATCCGTGCGTTTACAGGAACTGATGCAATCAAAACAAATCCAACTGTAAGTCTAGGAGCAGGTGTAAGCCGAGCTGTTTACCGTGGGTCCGGAATCTCCCCGAGTATTTCATCCAGGTTGTCTAAAAAGTGGACGTAGGCAGACAGCCCCTTGACATGCTTCCTTAGTGGATTGGACTCGGCTGGAGCGTAGCCCTTCCCTCCAAGCTGGATGGCCCTTACGAATGAAGTCACAGCCTGAAAAGAAAAAAAAGAAACAGGACTTTGATTTGGGGGTTCGATTCCTACATAAACATATTTCTGCTTTGGATAAAAGCCTCTTCTAAATGCATACATATAAACATAAAGAATTTCTAATCAAGGGAAAGTTCCCAGACCATAAATCTGGAGCTTTTGTTACCAAGAACAGGGACGTTTTGTCCTCGTGCGCGGCATGCCGGACGTCTGTGAAGGCCTGTCGTCCGAGGTCGCGGCTGGGCACATCGAGGGTGTGCGCCAAGGCCAGGTCATTCTTGGTGTTCACGAGCAGACTCAGGTAGGAGCAGAAAACCCGCCTCACAGCCATTTTCATCTGTTTTCGTGAAGCGGAGAGCGCCGATTGGTTAGTGCATGCATGACAACGGCACACAGAATTGCAGCTTACAAGTTTCGTGGCGCTTTTTGAAAGGTGAAATCTGGCTTTTGGGCGACAGCTGACAAAAGCAAACAGTAGAAAAAGAAAGGTTTTGCAGTAATTCATCTTAACCAGGAAGAGGCCAGCTTGGCTTCATTCATGCATCCCTCCATTATCTGTTACGATTATTCCTAGTGGTGTCCATCGTAGGGGGCCGGAGCCTACCCCAGCTAACACCGGGTGAGGGGCGGGGTACACCCTGAGCAGGTCAACATTCCATGACAGGGTGCACACAGAGACAACCAACACACACATACTCACAATCATATTCTATAGGGGCAATATATGGTGTTCAAGTAACCTAACATGTATGGTTTTGGGCATTGGAAGGAAGCCGGAGTACCCAGAAAAAATGACTTCATTCAAGAAAACCTAACTTTACTACCTACCTACCTTGTTTTCTGTGACATTACATAAACTGTTTTGGTGTTTAAAAGTATTGCAGCATATTTGCTACACGGTGGTCAGAGTAACACGTCTTATAATTAAGTTTTCCAAACTCACACACGTTACGTCGGTCAGATATAGCTTTACGAAAACTTCTGACGGGCTTTTGGACAGCGGCGTGCACAGGTGGTGTGCTTCGACACCCAAAGAGAGAACAGTAGCTTCCCAGCATGAGCAGAACCGCTTAAGAGCGGCAGCCTCCATTTGCTCCCAAAAACATGACATCACTGCATAATTGGTAATACAGCAGCGAGCCTTGACTAAAAATCTCATAAATCTACACGCGGCACATGAGGAAGGAGACTGTGTTACAGGAGTGATTGTCCAGCTCCACACCACATCGTGTTTTAAACATCTGTGCGGTAATTGTACTCGCACTGCACTCTTAAATCTGAGTGATATGATATAGAGGTCCTGTCAATAAGAGCCGGATGAATTCCAGACAGAAATTAGATCCACTGAAAAGGCTGGAAAAGGAAAAGCACGGATTATTGCCTAGAGGAGAAAAGCCCTTCATATTACTAAAACAACTTCATATAAGGATAGAGGGCAAAGTGGAAAAAGGGGAATTTCTCACGAGGGTTTATTAAATAAATTGCACTTTTTATTTTTAAAGCAGAGACGTGAGATCAGGCCCTACCTGAGAGCTGCAGGGCCTCCTTTGGCTACACGGCGTCGATGGAACTGAAACGTCTGGCAACTCTGGGGCCTCGATGTTCCCCGATAGGAACTCAAACAGCTCAATCTTGGCAAAAGAGTAAAGAAAATTAATGAGATCAATTCATTGGCCTTATCTCCCACTCGGTAGCCGAGCCGATCTCCCACAATCAGCATCATCAGCTGGATTTCAACTGGCTCTCGCTCACCGGGCTCACGGGCTCCTCTGGGTCCGAGTCCACCACCCGCAGCTGTTTGTACATGGAGAGGATATCAACCAGGTCTACGGTGTTGGAACGCTTCAGGAACGAGTCGTATGCCTCCAGGATGAGGTCATAGTTCTCCAAGCGTGCAGAGCTCGGGGGCGGCAGGTGAAGTTTGTCGAACAGTAAGTGTTTCCAGGCCATCAGGACATCACTCAGAGCCACTTTGAACTCTCCGGCATGCTGTCACAGGACGAGAGGAGACAGTGAAGGCAGCAGGCATAATTACAAAGGGCCTGGAAACAATCAGTTCAAAAGCAGTCCATATATAAGCCGTGAGCGGTCTGTTTTCGGAAAGCCGAGGTAATATCATCATCGTTATGGACGTGGTGACAGTCAGTCAGCATGATGGTTCAATTGAAATATGCTGCGATGATGATGTGGATCATGCCCAAAAGTCTGGCCAAACTATAACATGCTGCGATGTATCGCTGCAGCGGATCAAGGAAGACACTTAAATGTTTCAATTTTTAGTTTCTTACTATTCCAGTTACACTGAAATGGTTGCTGTGAAAGGCAACCTCTTTAAAAAAAAAACTGTGTAACAACACTGAATTATTTTAAGAGACTATACTGTATTTCAAAAGTTGATGGTCAATTATGCAATTGTGGATTTTCACAGCCATGAATAGCATTTCCCTCTCAACTAACAGTATCCTTATTGCACCTTTTCATACATTTTTAGGTGTTTGGACCTTTTGAATTTGAATTAAAGGTATATACAGACCTGTTTATTTACTTCTGCCATGGCCAACTGTAACACCATAAGCATGCCATCAGCTCCATGAATGGTAGTCCTCTCAGACCGTAAAACCCTGCTGCACTCCCTTCTGAAGGTTATTACCATCAGCTTGAGACGATCTCTCAAAGTCTCCATGGTTTCCTTTAACAAGAGTAAAGAACATTTATCTTAAGCCTGATATATCTTTATAAATATTTTTTGCAGAAAAAGGTCAAATGTAACCTTCTCATATTGGAAAGCCATTCAAAGCAGTCTCTGACGATTAAAACCTCATTTAAATGACTCATTTCAATAATATCTTCCAACTCTCCTTGAAAACAAACCATTACGGACAGTGGAAAGTCGGTTTAGCTGAAAATCAGCAACAACTTAAAGACAGTACGTATAAGTCTGTGACATACAATAAAATGACTTAATCTAACCAAATGAAACTCTTCTAACCTTTTATCTTGTTCCAACCCGTTAGATTGCAAAGCCCACGAGAAATGTTGCAACTGTTTTGAAATTTTTAAATGACGATGACGTACTGCCTTGTAACCAATCAACTCAGAGCAAATAATAGTGGGTACGCAATAATGGAGATATTATTGGATGACCAATAGAATCTAATAATTTCATAAGTTTTTAACGCAGAGAAAGTAAAAAAAAACGTTAGTGAATTCCTAAATCTTATTTTCTCTCAGTAAATTGTAAATTGTTTTTGATATTCTGACTTGATTGTGGCGTGTCTCCCCATCTCTTTTACTTAATGGTAGATTCCGTGTCCTACCCGGAAGTGCATAGAAAGTATTCCTAAACGCGCGTACTGTTCGGTTCAGCGTTTTCATTGGGAAATAACGTGGTAATGTATTTTTGTCATTATAGAATTCAGAGTCGGAATAAACACTTATTAGTAAGAACTGTTTATTACAGTTGCTTTCTCTTTGCCACATGTTGAAATGGCATTGAAATAAACCTTTGTTTTGCTTACTGCAGGATAACATTGCTTTCACGTTGTAGCTTCTTGACAAGTGAAAACCCATGTTGTTGTTAAATGTTACTCTACTATTAGGAATAAAATATGTGAATGGCATCTGCCGAATTGAAGAATGGCCAATATAGTTTAGCTTACCCTCCACAAATACGTTTTTACTAACTTTCTATGTTGTTTTCATAGAAAGACAAGCCAAACAAAAAGATTTTCGAACAGGATATGGTTTTCATTTTCTTCTCAAGCATTTTGGTCATTACTATTGTCTCTGTTTGCCTTTAGGGTGTCTAATTCAACTCTGTAAATGTGCTTTTTAGTTGCTGATTTAGAATTTAACCCATTTTAGATGTATGTATGTATGTATGTATGTATGTATGTATGTATGTATGTATG